TGCCCCAGCATTTCGGAGAAACCTCAGGTGACTGTCCAGACAGCTGTCTGTTTCTGTCAACTCACAAATTTTTTGGAAGTTGCTTATGTGCACTTCCTGTTTTTATTTTTGTTAGCTAATATTATTTCCTTCTTGGGTCTCTGAGGGAGTTGAAGATTAGTTAGTTATAGTTGAAGATTAATTAGGATACATTTTGGACTTACCAAAATAGGATAGATAATGAAATTATTTTCTCTGAATTTGTCAAATACAAATGGACTAGACATTGTTTAGGTATTTATTACTTGTATATATTGTATATAGTTATTGTACTTTTGTATATAGTTTTTCTTATATTAGTTATAAGCTTTTTCTTTTTTTTCCTTTTTATTAAAATAGAAAAGGGGAAATATGGTGATATTTTATTTGTATTAAAATGTTATTTGTATGTTAATAAATAAAGTTGCCCGGGGGTCAGAGCTATTAGCAAGCCATAGGAAACCAGGGCAGTGGTAGCGTACGCTTGTAATTCCAACACTTGGTAGGCAGAGCTGGGTAAGTCTCTGTGTGTTCAGGGATACAGCCATTATTGGATACACATGCTTTTAATCTTAATACCAATCATGGAAAACCTGGAGGCCTATACAGACAGGCTGTGAGGAGGCGGTCATGTGGTTGGGTTTACAACCAATGAGAAGGCAGGACAGGAACTCTATATAAAGACTTTAACACAGGGGTAGCTCTGGTTCGGAGAGGTAGGACCACCGCAGGAGGAAGGGTAAGGTTTTAGCTCTTAGCTCTGACCTCTTGGCTTTCTTCTTTGCATTGGTTCTGTGTTTATTATTTAATAAGAAGGTTGGATACATCTACACCCTAATGTAGCATATGTTTTGACTTCCATTTTGAAGTCAAGATATTTTTAAAATATGTAGGTTGGTTTAATCTAGCAGTTTCCATAATCCAATTTTTCTTAGTATTTATCACTCATTCATTAGCAGTCAAAAATTAAAAGGCAACACAATAACATACAGGATCCAGACTCTGTGTATTTCCCATCTTTACGTGGCTTTTTTCTTTTGTATTACTTTACTCCCGTTTTAAGGACTTTATTATTTTAAAACTATATATAATGAATGTCTATACCTTTTTTCTTTTGTTTCCCAAGCCTTTGTACATTTTTTAAACACACTGTAACCTGTTTAGAGGTTTTTTTCCCCTCTGGATCTGTCTTTACTGATCATCTGTAACCTTTTCTGTCTGCATGAGCAAAACCCCGAACTTTTGCCATGCAGCATGCTGGTGGAGCTCATGCTGGCAGCTCCAGCCCTCAGGCAGTGACTGATCGTTGCCTCTCTGTACATGGCCCATGTGAGAGACTTCAGGAACCCACCATGCAGCTTAGCTCATGGCATGCTGGCAGCTGCCAGGAGATGCATCTCTGTACTGCAGTCAACATGAGAGACACGAGTCTAGGAAGAGGTGTTTGGCTTCATTTTTGTGTGTTTAGAACCTGTTTTAAGCTTTCTCTGGTTTTATGTGGATATAAGTGCCAGACATTTGGGAGTCATTTGTAGGCAGAATTTTTCGTCGGGATCACCAGCAGCTCTGTTCCATTGTTAATTATATTGTTAATTATAAATGCTCAGCTGATAGTTCAGGCTTAATACTAACTAGCTCTTACAACTTAAATTAACCCATTTCTATTAATCTATGTGCTGCCCTGAGGCTCATGTCTTTTACCTCCCCTGCATGTACCACTTCCTTTCCATCTGACTGGCAACACCTCTGACCCCACCCTTTTTCTCCCCAGCATTCTCTCTGCCCTGAAAATCTTGCATAGCCATCAGGCAATCAGCTTTTTATTAACAATGAGAGCAACACATATTTACAGTACAATGATTGCTCCACAGCAAAGCTCTGCTGCTTGCTGGGGCTGGAACTTGGCCCCCTTGTTCAAACACATTTTTACCTGCTTTCTGTTTTTGATGGTTTCCTTTACTACCTAAGCTTTTCTTTAATTCCTTTTAATAAGTTAGAAGCTTTGCTGGTTGGGATCTTGCCCTGAGGTCACCACTCCCTTTATCCCATTTAGCATCAGGCTTTTCTTTAAACATTTTATCTCCTTGAGTACTGGACTTAGTTCCCTTATACTTTCTGGTGCTCCTTTTCTCCTCAAACTTACATTTTGTATTTTTCCCTGATCATCTTGTTTCTTTTCATTACAGATCTGCATAAGAGTGACCACTAATAACCACAAGACAGAGTCAATACTAAGATGTTTTGAAATCTCTTCTGCCAACATCATTAGTCCAAAAAAAATCTTCATTTTAGCCTCAGGCAGATTTTTTTGAACAAGAGAAAAAAGCACCCACCTTCTTCACCAAAATTTCACAATAAAGATCTCTAGGCCACTTGTAGAAATTCTTCCCCTCTGAAACTTCTTGAGCTGGGCCCCTGTAATTGAACTTGCCCTCAGCACTGTCTTCCATGCTCCTACCAGGATGGCCTATTAAGTCACACTTAAAGTGACCAACTGCTTTTCTGTTCCAAAGTCCTAAAGTCTTCCATATTCCTCCAACAAACAGCATGGTCAGGCCTGTCACAGCAATACCCCAATGCCTAGTATCAACTTTAGTCTTAATGAGTGTTCTATTGCTGTGAAAAGACACCATGACGATGGCAACTCTTATAAAAAAAAAAGCATTTAATTGTGTCTTACTTACAGTTTCAGAGGTTTACACCATTATCATCATGTAGAGAGCATGGCAGCACACAGACAGACATGGTGCCAGATAATTTTCTGAGAGTACTGCATCCAGATCTAAAGGCAGCAAGAAGAGAGAGCCACTGAGCCTGTCCTGGGCTTTTGAAACCTCAAAGCCCACCTCCAGTGACACACTTCTTCCAACAAGGCCACACTTAATCTTTCCCAGGTGACTAAGCATTCAAATATATGACCCCATGGGACCATTTGCATTCAAACCACCACATACAGCAACAGAAAAGTAACACACTGGTTTCAAGTATTACTTCTTCTAACTAACTCATTCATGGAACCTGATACAGAAGTTTCACGTGTGTCTAAAAGTATGGTTTTAGGGACCAACAAGATGGCTCAGCAAGTTAAGGTGCTTTCTGACAAGCCCGTTGACCTGAGTTTGATCCCTGGAATGTACCTGGTAAAAGAGAACCAACTCACACAAGCTTCAAGAGCTGTAGCTTATTTCTGCTTTCTGGAATGGGGGCTGGACTTCATGACTCACTTACAACAGAATAGACCAGAATGGCTGCCCAGGCTCCTTGGAATGGTCAAGGCCAAAGAGAGGGGCATTGCCAAGGTGGTTTCCACACCAGTTTAGTGACCCTGATAGTGTGGGCACAAAGAGCCCCCCACCTCATTCTAACTGTCCCTAAAACACTTTTGGGGGAGGGATATCGAGACAGGGTTTCTTTTTGTAGCCTTGGCTGTCCTGGAACTTGCTCTGTAGACCAGGCTGGCCTTGGACTCACAGAGAACTGCCTGCCTCTGTCTCCTGTGTGCTGAGATTAAAGGTATGTGCCACCATACCAGGCTTCTAAAACACTTTAAGTTCCTCTGATTGCCTCAGGGATGAGTGTTCTGGGGTGGCCACAGCAAATGTGCGGAGCCTGGGAAAGTCCTGACTTCCACACTCTAGAGACCCGAGTGTGAAGTCAGTGTGCACCCCTTCAGAGGGAGTGGGGGAGGACCCTTCCCAGATCTCCTAGCAGCTCCAGGTGTTCCTCAGCTGTGGCCACACACCCGTACCTCTGTGCCCTTCACCTTGCATTTTCCTTCTGTGAGTCTCTGCTCTGCCTCTTACCAGGACTTCTGTCACTGGACTTGGGGCCACCTGGATGACCAGGGTGATCTCATCTCTCCAACTTCAATGGGGCAACATCCACAAAATGTCTCTTGTGTGCAGCCACGGGCACAGGAGTCAGGAGGTGTACACATTACTCTGGGAGGTCTGCCTGTCCAGCAACCCTGGTGAGCTGCCATCTCTTCAATGAAACCCACAGCTGAGGGTCCCTGGGGGCCTCCCAGCCTGTCCCACGAAAGGAGCTCCAAAGCTGTGCTTGCTTTTGCCCCTCATCCCATACTCTCCACTCTTCACTGCCAGAAGCATCTTCGCTGGGGGATACTAGCCTTCCCCCTCAGCCTGGGACATATGACAGTAGGATCACAGGCTTGTAGAGGGTTCCTTGCCCTGGGCTTGTCCTTGTCCAGGGCCACATAAAGAAAAGAGACCCTGGTCAGCTTTATAAGGGAAGATATAGCTCAGTTTCCAGCAGCCAGGGTTGGGAGGCATCAGTAGAACCAGCAATATAGTTGATTTTCCTTATTCTTTATCCTTTGTTCTTTGTCATACTAACTTTCCTTGAAGATCTCAAAACTGTCCAGAGAGAAATGTTCATGTCCAACCCTTGGGTTTCCATACTGGTTCCACTATGTAGATGGTATCTGTGGGGAAATGGCAGCCCTAAAGGCCTACCCTGGGATCTGGCTTGCTGACCACATGGGGTAACCTGAGTGAAAGACCTTGTGCTCAATAGGTCTCCTACACTTCTTGCACTTCCTCTCTTTTCTCCATCTCTACCTTGCTATCTCCTAAGTACTCCTTTATGCCCTATACTCCCTTTCTGATCCTTGTCCTTCTCCTCACAGGAACGGTCCTTTATTAGGAGATCATGGCCTGGCCACTTGATACTAGAGAAATGGATGGATGGATGGATGGATGGATGGATGGATGGATGGATGGATGGATGGATGGATGGAAAGCTCAATGATCTGATCCATGGGAGGTGCTTCACCAGTGATGTGAGGGTTGACGGGGCCTCCCTAGTCTGCTTCAGGACTATGCTATGGTGACCATTGCAACCCCACTGCTTCAGAGCAGCCAAGGCAGAAAACGGAAGTGTCCCGGATGCGTGGAGAGTGAGATCAGACGCCTGAGTGGGGCAGGAGCCAGACGGGAGCTGGACTGGGAGGGTTGGGAGCCGGCTGAGCCGCCCTCCCGCAGAGCCGCGCATGCTCCGTGTTCCCCCTTGCTCCGGGTTCCCACGCCGCCGCCACCCTCGGCCCGACCCTGACTGCTTGTGCACCCAGCTCCTCTGCAGCAGCAGAGGACCCGGCCGACGGACAGCCATGCAGTAGGAGCCTCCTGAACAGAGGTGAGGTCGACAACCGTATGAGAGCTCTGAGCTTCTGGGGGGGGCGGGGGGGGCGGGGGGGCACCTACCGGGAGAGTTTCTGCTCGGAGGCAGCATCCTTAGCCTCGGTTCTACCCAATGTAGAGGTGCAGAGGGGAGGCCAAAGCTACATGGCACGCAGGTAAGCAGGCAGGCAGAAGAAGGGAGGCGCTGCAGGTCGCGGGCCCGTCTCAGCAGCTGTGGGGAAGAGTGGGCACAGGTGGCTGGGGAGTGGAAGGAGGAGCGGTGGTGGCAATGTTTGGGGAAGCCCTGGGCAGTGGGCCACCACTGGAAGAGCTGAGCAGGGTAGCTCCGAAATTCCCATTTCTAGCGCCTGGGGGAAGAGGAGCCGGCCTGTGCTGGGCACTATGGAACTAAAGCCTTTTTTTTTTTTTCCGCGTTTCTCTCCTGATTTTCAGACGCTGATACTGGGTCTGGCACAGGAGCATTGCACTGCTGATCTGCCCAGGTCATTTGGGTTTTGCACCTCTGGGTGTGGGTGTTTTGCACCTCTGAGCAGCTCGAATTGTGAGATCATGGTGGCACTGTTACCCAGCGGTGCCTGGCCAACAGTCCACAGGCACAAGCCCTGAGGGCCCCAGAGTGGAACAGGACATCAAAATCATGAATCTGTGGCTCTCAGGAGTAGGAGGTTGTGACTTTCAGTTGTGTGTATTGACCAGTGCCCAGCATGCTTCCCCCATTCAAGGGAAGAGCAATAAGCTTATCCAAGCCAATGCCTAAGAAGGTAAGAGCAGAGTGAGAGATGGGAAAGGGAGTGAGAGAATGAGCAGAGCTGAATGGGGAACTGTGCCCTGTGTTTCCCTGCAGTGCTAGTTATAACTACTTTCGTCTATCAAGGATCTGCCAAGACCCATTATGAGCCAGGTTCTTATAGACTTCTCTAAGATCTATCAGAGGAGATGACAAATATCTCTGCTCTATGGTTGGAGTTCTAGTGATCGATCACAGACCATAAATCATAAACATTTTAAAATAGTAACTATGTAGGTTGAATGAAAGATAGTAGGAGCTTAAAAAGGAGAACCAGTTGCAAGTTTAGGTGCATTGACTAGAAAAGGTCTGTTTTCAAAGGCAAGATTTCTGCCCAAACTTGAAGGTGATGAAATAATAAGCCACGTGCTTCTGTTTTGGAAGAACATTCTAGGCAGAAGGAATGGCTGGTACAAAGGCCCTGAGGCCAGAGCGCTCTGACTCATGAAACGTAGAGCTTTGAGGCCAGTTTGACTGCAGCTGAGGGAGGAATTCGGAAAGGAGAGGTCAAAAGGGGCCGTGTGAGTTGACTCTGAGTGACAGTTTTGTCAAGGCTGCGGACAGAAAAGGTCAGGATCTGACCCACCTGTCCAGAGAATCCCTCATCCATGATTGGTGACCCTCTGTCTAGGTCAGCCTTGGCCCCCTCCTCCTGGAACTAAGCCTGGGGCCATTAGTCACAGGAGAGATCCCTGAATGCTTTGGCGAAGCAGGCTCCTCAGCTGTCCCTCTCTGGCCCTTCTACCAGGTGGGGAGTGAGGGCAGATAGCTAGAACCTCAACATCAGGAGCAGCAGGTGAGACTGAGAAAAGGTAGTTGGGGGTCTTGAGCTGCTAGACACCAAGGAAAGTTTCACCCTAAGTAACCTATATATCCCTTCTTAAGGATGAAAAGGTCCAAATTCCCCCCTTGTGATGTGACTAAAGAGGATTCTGAATGCTTTTCTTGCTGTTTATTTGGTAGGGTTCTGGTTTCTTTGTCTGGGGAAAGCGCCCCACCTCGTGGTAGTCTGAAGGATGGCGCTCTGACTGCCATAGGTCCCTTTCTCTGCCAAGTTTCCCTGCAGTAGATAGCCCTTTCCTTCTCACCCTCCTCCCATCCTGCTCCATGCATAGCAGGAGTGGGGGAAGCTGCTGCTGATCTGTGAGCAAGACCCGTGGCAGGACCAACGCCTAGGGGAAGGGGCTGTTCGATTTACAGGCTGATCTGATTCCCAGATGCTTGCCGTGAGACTCAAACCTACTGGACATGCCTCCAGCAGGCCCAACCTTATATGGGGACAAACCTGAGCTTCCAGGCTTAGAATCACCCTTCAGCTTGTCCTGTGTTCTGGAGGCCCACAAGGGTAGCCAATAAGAGGAAGATGTTCTCCAGTTCCACCAAGCTTCTTCTAGATGCTTTTACACACACACACACACACACACACACACACACACACACACACACACACGAGAATACCACCCAGGACACCGGCGTTACCTAGTAGTTACCTGGGATCCCCATGAGGTTTGCTGTGTCTTTGCAAGAACTGAAATTATTCCTGACTTTCAGGAAGTAGGTCTCAAGGACAGACACTATTGTGGAGCCCCCTTATGTGACTATCACTTCCAAGATCTATCCTTCCATGGGTAAAATCATGTCCATGGGCCTGGCTCTAGGACAACATGACAGCAGTGTACCACCTCAAATCTGGGGAGGCATGAGCTGAAGCAAGTGTGCTTCTGACTTTTCTGAAATGGATAGTGTCATTGGGGTACCATTATGGTAGTGAACAAACAAACTTACATTGTTTTTGTTTGGTGTGTGTGTGTGTGTGTGTGTGTGTGTGAGAGAGAGAGAGAGAGAGAGAGAGAGAGAGAGAGAGAGAGAGAGAGAGAGAGAGAGAGAGAGGAAGAGAGAGAGAGAGAGAGAGAGAGAGAGAGAGAGAGAGAGAGAGAGAGAGAGAGAGAGAGAGAGAGAGAATGGACCATGGCACTCACAAGATCAGAGTACAATTTTGGGAAGTCAGTTTCACCTACCATCTTGTTGAAGGTGGGATATCTATTGTTTCTGCCAAGCTGCATACTCCAGGCTAGACTCGCCCACATACTGTCAGACAGTTCTCCTGTCTCTACCTCCCATCTTACCTTAGGAGTGCTGAAATTACAGATTTGCACCATCATGTGTTTTGTTTGATTAAAATGTGGGTTCCAGAAATCAAATCCAGATTGTCAGGCTTATGTGACTAATGATTGTACCTGCTGAGCCATCTCCCTGGATCTTGTTTGGTTTTGTTTGGTGGGTTGTTTTTGTTTGTTTTTTGGTTTTTGGTTTTTTTTTTTTAGTTTTTCGATACAGGGTTTCTCTGTGTAACAACTCTGGCTGTCCTAGAACTCTCCCTCTGGACCAGGCTGGCCTTGAACTTACAGATCTGCCTGCTTCTGCCTCCTGAGTGCTGAGATTAAAGGTGTGTGCCACCACTATCTCATGATCATGTTGTTTTTTAAAACAATAATTTTAACCCGAAACACTTGGGTCATCTTCTTCACACTCATTTAGTGTTGCAGAGTGTCAATAACAAAATGCACATGTAGCCTGTGGGCATCCAAATGATCAAAAGAACCCCTTTCCCTCCTTATTTACATGTATGTATGTTTTTGTGTGTGATCTGCAATTTCAGGGGATCCAATGTCCACTTCTGGTCTATATGAGCACCAGGAATGCACTGATAAACAGACATGCATGCAAGAAAAACACCCATACACATAAAATAATAAAATTTTAAAAATTAAAAATTAAAGGCACTATTTTAAAAGAAATTATTCAGTGACATTCAGTGCTTTCACTGTGCTATTCAGCCCTACCCATATCTAGTTCTAGAGTATTTTCATTGCTCCATAAAGAAACCCCTGAATCTACTAAGTCATTCTTCATATCTGGACTCCCGGCCCAGTTTTCTGGCTATGAATTTGCCTCTTTCAGACTCATTATGTTTTATAAAGATTTAGGGAGATGGTTCACTACACAGTGACACTGTAGCCAAATAAAGGCAGCAAGAATTCTCTTATTTACACCCATGAATGAGATAAAACAGCCACTTGGGGGCCACATGGAGGTGCATTTAGGGACAGGGAAGCTGTTAGGATATCTTGTGCATAACAGGAATTGGGCCAGTTCCCTGTGGAACTTTAAGAGCCTCTTAGTTTTCTGGGATCTAGTCCCTGATTAAGAACCTGATAAGAAAGCAGACTGGGACCTTAAGGTAGGATGTGGTAGGAATGGGGGCTTAGCAACTGCCTATAAAAGACAAAGATTTTAGCAACAACTAAAAACTAGGTCAAGACAGCTCTTGTGAAATGTCATTACATCATATAAATGGAATCATAAAATATGTGGCCATTTGTGTCTGGGTCTGACATTTTTAACTTCACAAAAAATCCCCAGGGTTCATCCATATTGTAGCATACATCATAATTTCCTTCCTTTTATGCATAAATAACACTCCATTGTTTATATATACCACATTTTGTTTATCCATTTGTCTGTTGATTTGACTGTTTCTGCCTTTTGGCTAGTGTGACTGCTGTGAAAGTGGGTGTATAGGTTTTTAGTGCATACACCTGTTTTTAATTATTTTGAGTATGCACTCAAGAGTGGAATTGCCTGGTCATGTGGTAACTGTATTTAACTCATTGAGTAACCATCCAAATGGATTTGTTTTCCTTTTGTTGGGGGAGAATAAACATTGAGTGTATGTATGTTTCCACATGTGAGGATATACATGCATGGCAGTGCACATGTACATGCATATATGTATATATGAAGGCTGGAGGTAGACATTAAGTGTCCTCCTCAACAACTCTCCACCTTACATATGGAGAGACAGTCTCCCTTGAACCTAGAGCTGGCCAACTGAGCTAGTTAGTGTAGCTACTTAGCTTGCTCCAAGGATTCCTGTCTCTGTTTCCTGTGTACCTGGGATTATAGATGGGCCACCACACCCACCTAGCATTTATATAGGTACTGAATATCCAATCTCCATTCTTGATACTTGAACTAACTCTGCACTGAGCAATCATCCTCCCCAGCCACAAATGAGGTGTGTGTGTGTGTGTTGTGTGTGTGTGGTGTGTGTGTGTGTGTGTGTGTGTGTGTGTGTGTGTGTGTGTGTGTGTGTGAAGGCACATGTGTGCATGTGCATGTGAAAGCCAAAGGACCACATTAGATGT